TAAATCAAGAATGATTTGTCAACTTTTCCCAAAATTATAGAAACACTTTGCTATTTTTATCTGTGTTGTACCTGTCAACAATGATCCTCTAAAAATAGTTGGTGACGTCATTTTTTATTTGATTTTATTAAGGAAATTTTACTTCCCTCTATGTGTGTATTCATATTTACATCTATTATCAACCGCGAGATTGAAAAAGAAATTAGTCAAAGTTGGCCATGCACGACAAGCCGTTTCTCGTAATTTAAATTTTTTTATTAAATTTCAAATTGACAGTTTAAAATTAGAATAATGACACCTACTTTTAAAATACATAAAAATGAATAAAACTTACTGTTTTCCAATTTTGTCCCATTTCTGAAGTAATATTCTAACAAAAAAGCTTTAATTTCGTTTAATAACATTGCAAATTACTTTTGTCAATCTTTTGTCAAGGTGACGTTTAATAAAAAATTATTATAAACAAAGACAAACGGCTTTTCGTGCATGGCTAACTTTGACTAATTTCTTTTTCGATCTCTCTGTATATAAGTAAATATTTATTGCTTTTTATTTGTCGATTTTTTGTGCTCCTTTTTTCTTTGGTCTTTGGTGTCATTTTGTAGCATTTTCATTTTCTTTTAGTATTACTTTTTTTCGTTTTTTGTGTCTTTCTTAATGCCTTTTTTGTTCGTTTTTTTTCCTCTATTTTTCGCATTTTTTTCCTCGCTTTTGTTGAAATCTTTCTTTATCACTTTTTTGTCGATGTTTTTGTCGATATTTTAAAACTTTTTCACTTTTTTGACTGTTGTCATTTTTTGTCGTATTTTTCGTCGTTTTTAATCACTTCTTTAGTCGCTCCTTTTGTCAGTTTTTGGTTGATTTATTGACGCATTTGTTAGATTTTAATAACAATAATTATCGTTTTTTTCTTTCTTTGTCGCCTTCTTTTCCTCCCCATTTTTGTGTGTTTTTTTATTGAGTGTTTTCATCGCCTTCTTTTTTGTCAATTTTTTCTCTATCCTCTTTAGTTTAGATAGCGTGTATGTCACACTTTACAACAATTTTTCTCCCCATTTTTAACATTGTTTTTGCTCTTTATGTGTTTTTCTTGATGTCTTTTTTGGTTTGATTTTCTTTTCCTACAAGTTTTTTTCGCTTTTCCTCATTGGTTTTGTTGTAGCTTTTCTTTGTTGCTTTCTTGATCTTTTGTCCTGGTTTTCTGGCCTCTTTTTTAAGCCGGTTTTTTGTTTTTTCTCATTCTTTTTCGCATCCGTTGTCTCTTTTCATCGATTTTTTGTGTTTCTTTTTTAATTAGCCACGTTTTTTGTCGTCTTTCTATCGCATTTTTAATCCCCTTTTTTAATACGTTCTTGCTGCTTCTTATATGTCTTGACACTTTCTAGTTCGTTTTTTGGTGCTTTTTTCTGCGCTTTGTTGCTTTCTTTCTGACTTTATCCTGTTTTTATCGCTTATTTTTTCGCACTTTTGACACCTTTTTGGCTGTTTCCCGTCTTTTTTCCAGCTGTTTTTATCCTTTTTTACTTTTTTGCGTTATTTTTATTGTCTTTTTTGGGAATTTTTTTCTTCTTTTTTAATCGCGTTTTTGGTGGTCTTTTTAGACGCTTTTTCGTCGCTCTTTAATCGCTTTTTGTCCCATCTTTTTACTTTCTATACTTCTTTCTCTTTTTTAATGTTTTCTATTACTTTTTTGAAGCCTTTCTGTTTTTTTATCGATATTTTTGTCGCGTTTTTCGAATTTTTTCTCATTTTTTTCTCGCTTTTGTTGTCGCTTTGTGCTGCTTTTTTGATTCCTCTTGTGGTTCTGATTTTCGTTTCTATTTTTCTAACTTTTTTTGTCACTTTTTACAAATTCTTTAATGCTTTTTTGTCGTATTTTTGTTGGTCTTTTTGTCGCTTTTTGCAAGCTTTTTTGTGCTTGTTTTATCTGTTGTCACTTTTTTATTTGTTGTTTTCTTGACGGCTTTTTTATAAATTTTTTTAATCATTTTTATCTTTGTTTTTTGCGTTGTTTTCTTTTTTCCGCGTCATTTTCGCATTTTTTAACGCGTTTTTCCGTCGATTTTTTTGCCGTTATTTTGTGTTCCTTTTTTTATCGTGTTTTTGTTGTCCTTTTGTCTTTTTTTTTTGTTCGCCATTTGTTATTTTTTCTTGATATCTCCTTTTTCTTTTGTCATTTTTTGTCACTTTTATGTCAGTTTTTGGCGTTTTTCCGCCCTTTTCTTGCCTTTTTTTATTTTCACTTTTCCGTCGTCTTTTGGTTTGTCAATTTTTTTATTGCGTTTTTTTCGCTTTTTTGTCGTAGTTTTTGCAGTTTTTTTTTTGTTTTTTCTTCTCGTCTTTTTCCTAGCTATTGTTGACATTTTTTTTGCGTTATTTTCTTGATACCCTTCTTTTAGTCCTATTACCTTTTTGTCATCTTTTATTGACACTTTTTGTCTATGTTGTTGTAATTTTTGTTTTGTTTTTTTAAGTTCCTTTTATTACGGTTTTGTGTGGGTTTTTCCTGCTTTTTTTAATCGCGTTTTTGTCGTCCCTTTTGACACGTTTTTTCGTCTCTGTTTTATAGCTTTTTGTTTCATTTTCGTTATTTTCTTTTCTCCTTTTTTGTTCCGTTTAAAAAAAAATTTGTAGCTTTTTTGTAGACTTTCTGTCGCTTTTTGTTGTTGATTTTTTGTTTTTTTTACTGCTTTTGTTCATTTTTTTCGTCTTGATTTTCGTCTGTATTTTCTAATCTTTTTTGTCACTTCTTTACAATTACTTTAATGCTTTTTTGCGCTTTTTTTTCGTTCGCTTTTCTGTCGTCTTTTTTTGCTGCGTTTTTTCGGCACTTTTTTAATGATTTTTTTAGTCGTTCTTTTTGTCACGTTTTTGTACTGCTTTCTTGAAGCCTTTTTTTGTTCAGATTAAAAAATATATATATTTGACGTTTTTTGGTAGACTTTTTTTATAACTTCTTTTTCGACTTATATTCGCTTTATTTTGTTGTTTTCCTGCTGACTTTTTTGCTGTTTTTATCGCTTACTTTTTTCGCGTTTTTGATACCTTTTTAGCTGTTTCCCGTCTTTTTTTTCGCTGTTTTTGTCCTTTTTTACTTTTTTGCGTTATTTTTATGGTCTCTTTGGGAATTTTTTCCTTCTTTTTTTAATCGCGTTTTTGGTGGCCTTTTTAGACGCTTTTTCGTCGGTCTTTAATCGCTTTTTGTCCCATCTTTTTACTTTCTGAACTTTTTCTTTTTTGTTTGATTTTTAATGTTTTTATTATTTTTCAAGCTTTTCTGTGATTTTTTTTTCATCGATATTTTTGCCGATTGTTACCGCTTTTTTCTCAGTTTCTTTTTTCCTTTTTTTGGTTCTGTTTTTCTCTCCTTTTCTAACCTTTTTTTGACACTTGTTTTTTGTAATTTCTTTTATGTTTTTATTTTCTTTTTTGTCGTGTTTCTGACGTCTTTTTGTTTTTTCCACACTTTTGTTTATGATTGTTTCGTTTTATTTTTTTTTTATCATTTTTTAATAACTCTTTTATAACTTCTTTGTAGTTTTTTTTGCTTTATATTCGATTATTTGATCCTTTTCCATATCCTTTTTCGATTTTTTTTGCTGGGTTTTGTTTCACGTTTTTTGTATTTTTTTTTTTTCTTACTGTTTTACTCTTTTGTTGTTTTCCTGCTGTCTTTTTTTTGCTGTTTTTAACGCTTACTTTTTTGCATTTTTGTCACCTTATTTCTTTTTTTTGCAGTTTTTTCGCCCTATTTTCACTTTTGCCTCGCTTTTTTAATTATCGATTTTTTACTGCGTTTTTTTTTTCGCGTTTTTGTCGGTTTCTGCAGTTTTTTTTTGAGAGTTTTTCTCGCCTTTTTCCTAACTAATGTTGACGCTTTTTTGCATTACTTTCTTGATGCCCCTCTTTTGGTCCTACTTTTGTCCCTTTTTTCTCACATTTTATAGTCTTTTTTATCATTTTTTTGCCTATGTTTTTGTCCTTTTTGTGAGTTTTTTCATGGCTTTTTTGTGGATTTTTTCCTGATTTTTTTTTATGATAGTGATGATATACTCCTTTTTTGTTCGGATTTTAATTGTTTTTTGCGTTTTTTTCTAACCCCTTTTTTCACATTTTTTATCATTTCTTTAGTGCTTTTTTGAGCTTTTTTTTCAGTCCCGTTTCTGTCGTCTTTTGCCGACACTTTTTTATGATTTTTTTAACCGCTCTTTCTCTCACCTTTTGGTATTGCTTTCTTTACGCCATATTTTTGATTTCGATTTTTTTTTTTATTTTCTTTTGCCGTTATTTGGTAGACTTCTTATATTTATTTTTTTTTTGCCTTTCATATACTTTTCTGATCATGTTTTTCCATTTTTTTCTGTCGATTTGTTTACTGTGCTTTGTTTCTTTTTCTGCCACTTGCTGCCTTTTTTCTCCTGTTTTTATCGCCTATTTTTTTTTCGCTTTTTTGTCAACTTTTTATCTTTTTTGTCCGAATTTCTATCGTTTTTTTGTTTAATTTTTTGTAGCTTTTTGTCCTTTATTTTTTCGGCGCATTTTTATCGTCTTTTCTTTGCTGCCTTTTTTATTCAATGTTTTAACCTTTTTGTCACTTTTTATAGCCTTTTTTGACACTTTTTTACTACCTTTGAAGCTTTTTTACGATGTCCCTTTGTTTTTAGTTTTGTTGTTGCCTTTTTCATTTTTTATTATTCTTCCCTTCTCTCACAGTTTATTTTTATAAATAACTCACTTGAAACCTACAATGTAGGATGAATGCTTGATTTATTTATAACTTGTCCTTATTTTATATTTTTAGATAGAAGTTATCATAAAAACAATATAACACAAAAAAACAAAGGTTATAATTGATTTAAGAAACTGAATTTCTTTAGTAATACTTGAAGGACCAGACAAGTTCGATCCAAATAACTTTAGATCTGTTTTTCTAATTGCCTCACTCGTTTTTATTCTTTTTGCTAATAATGTTTCACTAATAGTCAAAAAATATACACCACTTTACAAAAATATCTTTATTGGACAATGCAACTACGACTTAAATAAATCGTAAAAATGTTACTACCACACTGAAATTTCAACCTATCACACTTTTTCATTTCTCAAAATTTCTACTAATACTGAAAATAGTTATAAATTATTACAAAACAAACATAACTATAAAGTTTCGAAAACTACCCTAACATTTCCTTAAATTATCAATAAATAGCATTGACAACACAGTCTTTTTCACCCTAATCCAAATTAACGAGCGCATGACACTCCTTCGTATAATTAACCGGAATATGAGGCTCCACGATCCGTATAAAACTGCTCAAAGGACAAATCGCATCACAACCCTCCAACTTCTGCTCCTCGGGCTCGCTATCCACGTCTCGCAAATACAGCACCTGAAAACACCCTTCAGAACGGTTCCAACACCCCTTAAACGCTCACCTTCACTCCGTAGCCCATTTTCTCGTTCAAATAGTGCAATTCCACTATCACAGCCGCCGAATACTTGGGAACATGTGGCTTGAACAGATTTAAAGTTGCCAGAATATTGACCACGTTGTTCTCGTGCCCTGAATACAGGTAGATCTTGCGCTCGGCGGGGGAGAGGGCGCGATTTGATTTGTCGATCATGTGCTTGAGGATGACCCCCAACATGCGACCTACATTAATTCGTTATAATTATTATCAAAAAATCAAAGAAAATAGGAGAAAGTACCTCCGTTGAGGGTTTTCAAAATGGCGTTGTAGTTTTCGAAGTTGCACTGCAAACCAGCTAGGGTCTGTAGTGGTTCGGGGTAGACAGTCTTGGACCACTCCGGAAGGGTCAAGTTCATGTTGGCTTCAGCATTGAGGGTTTGGTAGACGTTGAAAGCGTCACCCGTGTTGTCGATTTTTATCTTAGTGTGTTCCTCAATGTACTTGAAGAGGTCCCTATATTGTTTCGTTTGTCTTTGAATATCGTCAGACAATAGTACCTCCTCTAGTTCTTTGACGTAGGCTGGGCAATAGTGCGTCGGACGTCTCAAAGTCTACAAGTTGTTAGAATCAACATAAGTAATCTGTCTAAATATAAATTGGTGGTTTTTGGGTGGTCACTTGACCTTTCCACTCGACTGACTTACATAATCGTACCGATCCTTGTCAAAGTGTATCGGAATGGGCATCCATGGTAACGAGTCGCTCCATCGCTGGGCAGGCGCAGGTGGGAACAACGCCGCCAACACCAAAAGCAGCGACGCCTTAGTCCTGTCAAAATCGGTACTAACCGCCTCCACCATTTCCGGTACGTACAAATCCCCCAGGAACGAGTCGTACCGTTGCCGGAGAATATCGCCGAGTTTGAACGACATCTGCTTGCCTTTCTGCAACAAGTACCGTACCATCAAACTGGGTTAATTTGCACGCACGATTTAGTACATTTGTCAGAGCTCCATATCCCATGGGCCAGAACGTCTGCGCATCGTAGGGGTCCGTGGGGTAGACGTGCTTGTGCTCCGGGGTACGACTACCATGCCTGAAGAACTACCAAGACCATAAGTCCCCAAAAAAAAACAAATTTTGTTACTTACCACGTGAACCAGCTGCAAGGTCTGCTCCTTCGCTTGAAGAGAGCTAACCGCAAAAACACAAAAAACTAACAAGTATCTCATCTTGGACGATAAAAAGGCAAAGTGTGTCAGTACGGGACGTCAGCACCGTACTGAGGATTTATTAAGCGTCGCCCATTTTATACGTTTAACTAACAGAACCGGACTTTTTTTAAACGTTGACCTTAAGTAACATTGCTTGTCGCAATTCTTTAAATCAGCGGATGTAAAATTTGCGGCTTGTTACGGTACTCACAAGGAACGAGGATTTTGGGGTTCGGGAAAGTTTTGCGAACGCAGCGAAGATTGAAAGAACCTTGAGTGGGTAATTTAATTGGAGACTTGCCTGAATGGAACGTTATCATTTTGAATAAATGAGATAATAATAGGGAGTTTGTGCGGTCATTGTGTTGGTGCTGTGGGAGTACCCAACGTCATGAAACCCTCGTAAATCGCACCTCTCCTGGGAAAATAAAACAAATTTGTGTTTTTAGGCAGTCGTTATTGGCGTTATTAGCTCAGGTGTTGGTGGACAATTAAGTCAAAAGAGTACGTATAGTACTTGGATATTTAGAAAGGAAATGATAATAAATGTGTTTAATTTGTATTTTATAGCGATAAGTTGGCTTTACGTAACAGCAGTGATTCAGCCGTGGCTGCAAATGTTGAGTGCCACTGTCAATCGAAGAACCTCTGTAATCTTCAAGTCCAGACATTTCTAGTTCACATCGGATGATTTCCTTGAAACTACGTACTTTTCCTGTGCTCTGATTTTCCAAATTAATTATAGATCGGTTACAACACCCCGATAAAATCGTTACATCAGAAAAGTCCCCTATTCAATCTACGTATTTTCTTTGGTGTTAAATTTTCAAAAAAAAGTTGACCGTCATCTCGTGCTGACGCTTATCAAACGTGTGAAAACAATATTCATTCCGTTGCACAACCGATATATTTATGGATCTCCGAGAATAATGCGTGATGTTTGTGATTTAGATAAGTTAGAATATTTTTAGAGATTTGGAGCTGACCGTTGGACGGAACTTAAAATTCCTGATATCGCGACGAATTCTCACCAAACTTTGTGTGTGGGTTTTATCTTGGTTGACGATAACGTACACAGAAGTCAGTTCGACGACCGTTCTTCTTTTGGGGGGTCGAAAAATTCCGCTGTAAATACTAACATGAGCTAAAGTTACCTACAAATAACTCGTTTGCTGATCATGGCTTTTTTCCGGTGTTGGTGTACGTTTGGTTGGCCAGTTTTCGGAGAATCATTTCAAAAAACGTCACGGTGACAGTCAGATTCGAGCACATGAACACGAACTTGATTTAAGTTCTGTTTTTTGTTCAGTTTTATCGAGAACAATTTCTCTGTGCAGGTGTGTACAATGTACATACTGCATAACATGCGGAATTCCTGGCATAATGTTACTTAGAAGGCCACTTCGTGATAAGTTATCTATGCAGTTTACCTAGTAACTGTTACCTGTTGACAGTTCAAGAGCGTAATATTTTTCGCAAATGACTATATTAAAATTACACATTGTTAGATTCGTCAGTCACGATTTTGTGGTTGCTTTGTGAAAAAACTGGTAGTTTGTTCTTGAGGGTTTTACAAAACCTTGAAATGGTTGATAAGATGCTTTAGTGATGATTAAGTTGAAAGAGATTTCTTTGAAAACGTAGGACAGGAATTTTTACGATAAGTTAATACTTTCTATTCAGTGCGAGTCGATAGCAAGAATTAACGTTAATACTCTGTTCTAGGCAACTAATGCCTCACTACTTTGATATATACGGGATTTGAAAATTACGACAAACAATGCTACGTATTTTTTTTTTGCAAAATATGTTCAAAAATTTTACAATTACAGATTTCATTTTTGTCGTGTCGAGATTTTTTGTTACTTTTTTCTGGTTTTTTTCTCACCTCGTTTCATTGTTGCGTTTTATTGCTGTTTTTTGTTCCCTTTTTCACACATATTTTTGGTCTTTTTCTTATCGGACTTTTTGTCCAGATGTTTTATTGTCTCTATTTTTATAGTCTTTCCTGTTATCCTGTTTTTTCCGATTTTTTCTTTCACTTTTTTCGCCTTTTTTGTCGCATATTTGCAGTCTTTTTATAGCCTTTTTAATCTTTTTTTAGTAGTTTTGTTGTCACTTCTTTCGTTGTAATTTTGTCGTCTGTCAAGAGTTTTTTTTGTCGTTTTTTTTTAGTAGCTTTTTTGTCGTCCTTTTCTTCCACCATTTTTTAACTTCTATTGTTGTCATTTTTATGTCGTTTTTAAGGCCCTTTCTTGCATCTTTTTTGTGGTGATTTCGGTGTCTTTCTTTGTGTTTTTCCCTCTTTTTTGTCATCTCTTTTTTTTGTTGTTTTTTTCGTGTTTTTGTTCCTTTTTAAAAAAACGGTTTTTTTGTCATCGCATTTTTATTCATTTTTTTAGTATGTTTTTTGTCGTCTCATTCCTTCCGCCGTTTTTTGTCACTTCTTTTGTTGTCATTTTTACCACATTTTTTGTGGTTATTTTGTCGTATTATTGTCGCGATTTTTGACGTATTTTTTTGTCATCTTGTTTTTTTTTTGTTTTTTTTTCTGCGTCTCATTTTAATTGTATTCGTTTATTGTAACATATTTTTGGTCTTTTTGTCGCCCTTTTTATTTCTTGCCTTAGCGTATTTGCCTTTTTTTTATTTTTTACAGATTTTTTTCCCCGTTTTTCTTTGTAATTTTTTTTTTAATTATTTTCATCACATATTTTGTGGCCCTTTTGGCGCTTTTTTATTCCTATTTTTGGCGTCTATTTTGTCATCTCGTTTTTTCCATTTTTTTCTTTCATTTTTTGCATAGTTCTTTTTCTAATCTTTTTAATTTTCTTACCACTTTTTTTTAATTTTGTTGTCACTTCTTCGTTGTAATTTTTGGCGTCTATCTATCAAGTGTTTTTTGTCGGTATTTTGGTGTTTTTTTCAGGCGCTTCTTAAGTAGCTTTTTTCTCGACTTATTGTTTCCCCCATTTTTTTTAGCTTCTTGTTATCATTTTTATGGCATTTTATGGGCCTTTTTTGTCATCTTTTTTCTTCCTATTTTTGGCGTCTTTTTTGTCATCTCGTTTTTTCCACTTTCTCTTTCATGTTTTGCATAGTTCTTTTTCTAACCTTTTTCATCTTTTTATCACTTATTTATAATTTTGTTGTCACTTCTGTCACTGTAATTTTTGGGGTCTATCAAGTGTTTTTTGTCGTTTTTTTTTTGTGTTTTTTTTGGCGCTTTTTTTAGTAGCTTTTTTGCCGATTTCTTGTTTCCACCATTTTTTTAGCTTCTTTCGTTGTCATTTTTATGACATTTCTTGCGTCCTTCTTTGTTATCTTTTTTGTCGCGATTTCGGTGTCTTTCGTGGTGTTTTTCCCTCTTTTTTGGCATCTATTTTTTGTTGATTTTTTTATTTTTTTGTCCCTTTTTGTTTAAAAGCGGTTTTTGGTAGCCTTTTTCCCATCATTTTTTTGTTACATACTTATGATCTCTTTTTGTCATCGCATTTTTATTCATATTTTATTATTTATTTTGTCGCCTCCTTCCTTCCACCGTTTTTTGTACTTCTTTTGTTATTATTTTAACATATTTTTTGTGGTCTTTTGTTTTTTTGTCGTTTTTTTTTGTTATCTTGTTTTTTATTGCTTTTTTCTTCGTCTTTTTTCATTGTGGTCGCTTTTATCGCATATCCTTAGTCTTTTTTTGTAACCTTTTTATTTCCTTTTTTTCCACTTTCTTTTAGCCTCGTTTTTTGTCCCTTTCTTATACAAGCTTATTTTAATAGATTTTTTATCTCCTTTTTTTGTCTTTGTCCTCTCTTTTTATCCCGAAGTAAGGCTTACTGTGACACAAGAATTCTTTAATGATGCTGATATAAAAAAAATATAAGTAAGTGTCTGCAATTGTTATATGTATACAGTGTTTTTTTTTCGATATTACAGTTTTTCGATTTTTATAATTTTTTGATTTCACAATTTTTCGTTTTTTATTTGCTTTATTTTTTTTATTTTTCGATAGCTTAGTGCCTCAATTTTCAAATTTAAATTTTTCAATTTTTCAGTTCTTAAACTTAAGTTCCTAATTTAAAATTTATCAATTTTTCGATTTTACAATTTTTTGAAATAACTCTTGGTTTTTCATTTTCTTTGTTTTTCAATTTTTCCATTTTTTAGTTTTACCAATTTTTAATTTTCGTTATTTCAAGTTTTCGTTCGTGGTTAATTCTGCAATTTTTCGATATTACAATTTTTCATTTTTTCAATTTTTCGTTTCTCAATTTTTGATTTTTCGATTTTTTAATTTTTTGTTTCTTCAGATTTTCAAGTTCTTGATTTTTATTTTTTATTTTCCTGATTTTTTAATTTTCATTTTCTCGATTTCATATCACAGATTTTGGTATTTTCATTCCCTTTAATTTTTCAATGTTTCTTTCGATTTTATAATTTTTGGTTACTTCAATTTTTCAAATTTTCAACCTTTGATTCTTCAATTCCTCAATTTTCCAATTTTTTAATTTTTCAATAGGTATTGCAATTTTTGGATTTCCAGTTATCCGATTTTTTTAATTTTCAATATCTCGATTTTATAGTCCATATTTGGGTTTTTCGATTTTGCACTTTTTCCATTTTTAAGTTTCCCAATTTTTAATCTTACGATTTTTCTATTTTTCGGTTCTTCCGAAGTATTTTATCGCGATTTTTGACGTCGTTGTTTTGTAATCTTTTATCGCTTTGTGTCATCTAGTTTTTATTGCTTTTTTTTCGCTTTCTTTTATTCTCGTTTTTTAATGAATTTTTTTGTCCCTTTCTTATACACGCTTATTTTATTGGATTTTTTGTCTCGTTTTTTGTCTTTTTCCCTTACTTAGGAACAAAAAAACAGAAGAATCCTTTAATGATGCTGATATAATAAAAATATAAATAAGTGTCTGCGATTGTTATAGATTGTTTTTTTCTATATTACAATTTTTTGATTTTTCAATTTTTCAAGTTATTTAAATTTTTTAATTTTTCGATTTTACAATTTTTTGAAATCACACTTTTCCGTTTTTCCTTTTTTTGTATTTTTATTATTTTTTGATTTCGTAATTTTTCGTTTTTTATTTGCTTTATTTTTTTTTATTTTGCGACATCTTAGTTCCTCAATTTTCGAATTTCGATTTTGCAATTATTGAGTTCCTAATTTATAATTTATCGATTTTTCAATTTTACAATTCTTGATTCTTTCATTTTCTTCATTTTTCATGTTTTTAATTTTTTAGTTTCTCAATTTTTAATTTTCGATGTTCCAATTTTTCGTTTCAAGTTTTCGTTTGTAGTTTTTTTAATTTTGCAATTTTTCGATATTACAATTTTTCATTTTTCGATTCTTCGCTTTCCAATTTTTAATTGTTTAATTTTTTGTTTCTTTAATTTTTCAAGTTCTTTTTTTTTTATTTTTCATTTCCCAGATTTTTTAATTTTCATTATCTCGATTTTATATCACCGGTTTTCGTACTTTCATTTCTTTTAGTTTTTCAATGTTTCTTTCGATTTTATAATTTTTCGTTAATTCAATTTTTCAAATTTTCAATTTTTATTCTTCATTTCTCGATTTTCCAATTTTTGAATTTTTCAATATTGCAATTTTTGAATTTCCAGTTATCCAGTTTTCCGATTTTTTAATTTTCAATATCTCGATTTTACAGTACATATTTCGTTTTTTCGATTTTGTACTTTTTCGATTTTTCAGTTTCTCAATTTTTAATCTTTCGATTTTTCTATTTTTCGGTTCTTCGGTTTTTAAGTTCTTGATTTCCAGTTTTTAGTTTTATACATTTTCGTTTTTTAATTTTTGATTTTTCAATTTTGCAGGTTCGCAATGTTTCAATTTTTTTTATTCAAAAGTCTAAAAATCGAAACCTTAAAAAATCGAAAAATGGCAAATCGAAGAACCGAAGAAACGAAAAATTTAAACAGAAAAACTAAAAACGAAAAACTTAAAGACCAAAAAATTGGAGAATCCAAAACATTGTATAATCGAAAAATAATAGAATCGTCAAAATTGTAAAATCGAAAAACTGTATTGAAAGGCTAATAAATATTACTGTTCTTATTATTAATATCCCTCTTTTGGTGCTATTTTCCTTTTTTTCCTTTTTCTTGCTTTCTTTTTTATGTTCTTTTTTTGGTGTTTTTTGGTTGCATATTTGTACTCTTTTCTGTCGCCTTTTTAATCCCTTCTTTACCTCTACTTTAAGTAAGCTTTTTTGTGGCTTTTTTGTTATTTTTCCTTTTTTCTTTCACATTTTTTTGAGTCCTTTCTTGTGGTCTTTTTGTATGGTTTTTCAGCGTCTTGCTTTGTCTCTTTTCCCCCTTTTGTGTTGCTTTTTTCGTCTTTTTCTGTTCTTTTTTATTCAAACTTCTCTTATCTACTTTTTCTTAATGTTTGTTGGCGCTTCTTTTTACAGATTTTCTGTCGTCTTCTTTTTTGGCATTTTTTTGCCTTCTCTTTCTTTAGCCCGTTTTTTGTCACTTTTTTTGTTGTGTGTAATTTTTATCACATTTTTGTGACTTTTTTGTCGTCTTTTTGTTGCATTTTTGGCTTTTTTTCTTCTTACAAGTTTTCTTGGGGTCGTTTTCGTCCTTTTTGGGCGCTTTTAATCATTTTTTTGTGTTTTATTTTTCTCCGTCGTTTTTTGTCGCCTCTGTTGTTATCACTTTTATCCCATTTTTTCCCGTATATTTGTCGCCACTTTCGGCGCCTTTTTTTGTTACTTTTTTGTCGCATTCGTCACTTCGCTTTTTTCGTCTTTTTTAATTCCTTTTTTGATGACTTCATTTTTCCACCGTTTTTGTCACTTCTTTTATTATCTTTCTTGTCATTTTTTTTTCTGGCGTCTTTTTGTAGTAGTTTTTGTCGGTTTTTTTTGTCGTTTTTTGTCGCTTTTCTTGTCGTTATTCTTACCGGCAATAAAATGTTGATTGTATTATCACAACATTCTATTAAAAAAAAAAATCACTTGGAGGAAACATTTTTATTATAGGAATTACCATAAAACATTAAACTCGCACAATTAATTTAGTTGCTTTTTTGATGTCTTCTTTTTTTTATCGTTTTTGTGAACTTTTTTTGTCGTTTTTATTGTCGCCTGTTTCTTGTGGCGATTTTTGTCCTCTCTTTTATTGTTCTTTTTTGTCGTTATTTTTATCCTTGATAAAATGTTGATTACATCATCCTAAAATACATATATATCACATTTTTTTGTCTTTTTTCCCGTTTTTGCCCCTAGGTGACGGAAGAGTTCTTTAGTGATGCTGATATACCGAAAATATAAGTAAGTGTTTAATAGTAGCCTTTTATGGCGCTTTTTTTGTTATCATTTTCTTCTTCACATTTTTTTGAGTCCTTTCTTGTCGTATTTTTGTATCGTTTTTCTTTTTGTCTTTTTCCCCCTTTTTTTGACATCTCTTTTTTGTTGCTTTTTTCGCCTTTTTTAAGCTTTCTTTATCAACTTTTTCTTACTGCTTTTTTGGACCTTTTTTATAGTTTTTTTTTTCCCGGTTTTTGTCATTTCTTTTGTTGTGCGTAATTTTAGTCAGATTTTTGTGACCTTTTTTGTCTTTTTTTTTTGCCTTAAGATCTTTTTTTTTCTTCTTACAAATTTTTTGGGATCGTTTTCGCCCTTTTTGGCGCTTTGTAGCAACTTTTTTGTGTTCTACCTTTCTGCGTTGTTTTTTGTCGTCTGTGTTGTTGTCATTTTCAAAATTTTACTATGAAAAAACTCACTTGAAAATCAAACAATTTTTATTATAGGGATTATCATAAATAGCACAACCAAATTTTATAATTTGTTTAAGAAATTGGACATTTTTTTTTAATTTACGATACATATTTTTGCAAAAAAATTTTTGTCTAAATAATAATTACATTATAAGTCACATTCTTTACTTGATTTAGGCAAATATATTTTGTACAACTTAACAAATTGGTCAAAATTACAAAACCTCTGACAATTTGGCAATTTCAACTCCATTGGTTTTTCCCCACTATAATCCTGATAAAAAACCTAAAACAAAAAAAATCACTACTCAGTCCAAACTTCCACAAAGTCCATACCCTCACTTTCCTAACCCCTCCAAAATTATGAATTTCAATCAAAATATACGACGAAAATGGCGGAATATGCGGATAATATATCCCCAAAAGCTGCATCAAATACGTTAAATTATACTCATGAGCAGAATACAAAAACATTTTCCGTTTCTGAGGCAAAACATTTCGAATCTTGTGTCTGGTATCTTTGATAATTTTTTTGAGCAAAAATCCTAAAATAGGGTAATTTTAATTTTTAAAAACAGTCAGTTGATAATGTTAATGTCACACCAGACGATAACCTCTTCATTTCATCAGTTGCCACTTTCGCTTGGTACTCCAAATGGACCAAACCGAGCATAACACTTGGAAAAACAGACTTAGTCCAGTTTGGAAGTTGTAATCCGTTCTCTCGCTACCAAAGAAATACTATTAGTACTTACCATGTATTTACAGAGAGTACTTCAGTGGTACCTCCATATCCAGAATCAAGTACAACTCAAGTGCCGCCTTACTCGTAATATTCAAACCTGTATGCTCCTCCAGGTACTTCATCGTTTCAGTGTAATTTTCATACATTTTTCTCCCTTGTGTCGAGTTTAAAAAATCCAAATACAGTTTCCTGTATCGTGGACAGTTTCTATACGGTTGCCCTAAAACCTACACCCACAAATCCAAATTCCAAAATTAACACAACGTTAGTTACGTGGTCATTTTTAATAGGCCAGTAGTTGAAAGCTACAGGCTGCCACTTCAAATTTTCGTTCCAAACAAACTCATTTTCAGGTGGAAACAACGAAGCTAAAACCAACTGTAAAGAAACTTTAGTTCTGGCGTAGTCTGTGGAACGTGCATCCACAGTTTCGAGTGAGTAAGGTCCCAAAAATGTCTTATATCGTTGACGTAAAGCCTCTCCCAAACGGTACTGTTTCAATTTCCCAATCTAGACGATTTTGGTTACAAATAAAAACGAAAGTTCGAAGTACTTGCATTTGTGTGTTCGCCAAAATCCGCCGGATGGTACGACGCGTTGATGTGGGGGTCTTTGGGATAGAGCAAGTTTTTTTGGGGAGCTCGATTTCCGTGTCTAAAGATCTAGAGACAATAAATTTTGGGACACAATTTAGTACTTACTACGTGAACTAGTTCTAGGGTTGTGTTTTCGTCACTTGAAACTAGTTTTGGGAGTGTGGTGGCTAGAGCGAAGAGAAAAATCGAAATTTTGGTCATTTTTGAAACGTGTGTGAGCTTGTGGTGCAGTTACTAAGCACTAATCTGTTAACAGTTCTGGTTCATTGCATTATTCACTTGATAGTATTTTTGTGGTGATAAGAAATTAAATAGTGTTCTATCAAGAATTTATTGCTAAGTAATCGTTTAATCAATTAAGGAAAGTGATGGCCTTAACACAGTTAAGTTCGACTATATCTCACATTCTTGTTTAGATTTAGGTAAATATTTTTTGTACAAGTTGGTAAAATCGTTGAAAGTGCAAAAAGTACAACCATAGAACAAAAATAGAAAATCTAAAAAAAATACTATTTCTAAAAATTGGAAAATTGTAAAATCGAAAAAACCGCTGAAAATTTAAAAGCCGAAAATGGATAAATTCAAACTTTTGAAATGAAAACTCAATTAAACACTGAAAAGACGAAAAATAACACACTCAAAAAATTGCTAATCCAAAATTTGAAGAATAAAAAATTCCGAAGTCGAAAATTCAAAAAATTTTAATTTAACACCCGAATAATTTTATTGAAGAAATGACAAATTAAAAACAGCACAAAAATTGAGAATCTGATAAACTAAAAAAGAAATGAAAAATCATGAAAATCAGAAAAATTTCGAAAATTCAAAAATTTTAAAATGAGAACTCAATAACAACAACAAACGAAACATCAAAAAGCAGAGTAAAAATCTAAAATCTGAAAACACAAAAAAACGAAAAATAGTGAAATCGCAAAAAAATGCTAATCTAAAAATTGAAGAAACAAAAAATCAAAAGTGGAAAATTAAAAACTCGAAAAATTAAATTAGTGTTAAGTCGAAACTGAAGAAACGGGAAATTATAAAATTCAAAGTAAAATCGGTAGACGGAAAATGATTTAAAATTGAGAAACAGAAAAATCGAAACAGTGAACAAAAATGAAAAATCAAAATGTCTAATGGAAAATTTATCTAAAAATTCAAACGTTGGAAAATCGAATTGATTATTACAAAAATTAAAAATCGGGAATTTGCAGAAAGATTTGAATTTTTTGAAACTCACAAATTGGAAAAATATGGAGAACTGGAAAATCTAGAAAATCCAAATATCGAAAAAGTGAACAATCGAAAATGAAAAATCGAGAAATTGAAACCAAAAATAAATCGAAAAATTTGAAGATTTTATTTACCAAAAGATCTAAAATTTAAAAAATCGAAAACTTGAAAAACCGGCAAGTCGAAAAGTCAAAAAATCGATAGCCTGAAAAATTTAGTTGAAAAACTGAAAAATTGAAGAAACGGAAAATTGAAAAATTTAATAATTAAAAAATTCAAAAGTTGAGATCAATGAATTAACAATTCAAATACTTATTTAAAAATTGAACAAACGAAAAATAGAATCACAATTTTGGTAATTGAAAAATTAAAAGCCGAAAATTAAAAAAATTCAATTTAAAAACTCGAAAAATTATAAAATAGAACAAAAATAGAAAATCTAAAAAAAATACTATTTCTAAAAATTGGAAAATTGTAAAATCGAAGAAACAGCTGAAAATTTAAAAGTCGAAAACGGATGAATTCAAATTTTTGAAATGAAAAGCCAAAAAATTGGACAAACGAAAAATTCAGAAGTCAAAAATTGAAAAATTTAAAATTGAAAACTCGAAAAACTAAAAAAATGAAAAATTGAAAACTAGGACAAAAATCGAAAATCTGAGAAGCTGAAATTGATCTATAGAAAAAAATTAAAAAACAAAGTCTCTAGCGGAAAATTTATGGAAAAATTCAAAAATATGAATCGGGAATCTGAAAAATTGAAAACTTCCGAAGTTAAATTGATCAACGGAGGAAATTAAAATATCTAAAAATTGAATATCGAGAAACTGAAAAATCGAACCATTCAAAAATTTAAACACTGAAAAAACGAAAAATAACACAGTCAAAAAATTGCTAATCCAAAATTTGAAGAATAAAAAATTCTGAAGTCGAAAATTCAAAAATTTTTTATTTAACACCCTAATAATTTTATTAAAGAAATGAAAAATTAAAAACGGCACAAAAATTGATAATCTGATAAACTAAAAAAAAATGAAAAATCATAAAAATCAGAAAAATTCAAAGTTCGAAAATTGAAAAATTTTAAAATGAGAACTCAAAAACAACAACAAACGGAACATCAAAAAGCAGAGTAAAAATCTAAAATCTGAAAACATAAAAAAACGAAAAATAGTGAAATCGCAAAAAAATGCTAATCTAAAAAATTGAAGAAACAAAAAATCAAAAGTGGAAAATTAAAACTCGAAAAATTAAATTAGCGTTAAGTCGAAACGGAAGACACGGAAAATTATAAAATTCAAAGTAAAATCGGTAGACGGAAAATGATTTAAAATTGAGAAACAGAAAAATCGAAACAGTGAACAAAAATGAAAAATCAAAATGTCTAATGGAAAATTTATCTAAAAATTCAAACGTTGGAAAATCGAATTGATTATTAGAAAAATTAAAAATCGGGAATTTGCAGAAAGATTTGAATTTTTTGAAACTCACAAATTGGAAAAATATGGAGAACTGGAAAATCGAGAAAATCCAAATATCGAAAAAGTGAACAATCGAAAATGAAAAATCGAGAAATTGAAACCAAAAATAAATCGAAAAATTTGAAGATTTTATTTACCAAAAGATCTAAAATTTAAAAAATCGAAAACTTGAAAAACCGGCAAGTCGAAAAGTCAAAAAATCGATAGCCTGAAAAATTGAGGAATTGAAAAACTGAAAAATTGAATCAAGAAATCGAGAATTAAAAAATCGACAAATCGGAAACTTAGAAATGCCAAAAATTGAAAATTTGAACAATATGAAATTAAAAAATTCGAAAAAATCAAAAAATTTTAAAAATATGAAACTGAAATATCGGAAAATCGAGAAATCGAAAATTTTAAAAAACGAGATTGAAGAGTTGAAAAATCCCTAAACTAAAATATCGAAAAATTAAAAAAGTAATCGATGAGTTGAAATCGCGGAATTGAAAAATCCTGTTAATGAAAAATTAAAACATCTGGAAATAGAAACACGAAAAAATGGAGAAATCGATAAACCAAAATAACCCAAGCAAAAAATTGAAAAATCGAAAATTTTAAAACTCGAAAAATTGAAAAACTGAAAAATCTAAAACAGGAACGTCACTAAATCTAAAAGATCCAGAAATCGAAATACCAAAATATTGAAAATCTAAAATTAAATAACTGAAGAACTGAAAAATGAAGAAATCCAAAAATCTAAAAATTTAAATACCGAGAAAGTGAAGAATCGAAAAATTGAAAAATCGAGAAACTGAAACAAAAAGAAAAAAAAATTAAAGATTTCAAATAAAAAAATCGAAAACTGGAAAAGCGGCAAATCGAAAAGTCAAAAAAATCGGATACCTGAAAAATTTAGTTGAAAAACTGAAAAATTGAAAACTCGATTAATCCAGAAATCGAGATTTAAAAAAATCGACAAATCGAAAACTTAGTAAAACCAAAATCGAAAAATTGAAGAATCAAAAAATTGAAAAAATATGAAACTGGAATATCCGAAAATCGAAAAATCGGAAATTTGAAAAATCGAGAAATTGCAGAATTCGAAAATCCCGAAACTAAAATATCGAAACATTAAAAAAGTAATCGATAAATGAAAAATCCAATAAATGAAAAGTTAAACCATCGGGAAATCGAAACAAAAAGATCGAGATCTCGATAAACCGAAATAGCCTAAACAAAAAATTAAAATTTAAAAAAATTTCAAATTTCAAATTTAGAAAAATCGTTAAATTTAAAAATCGAAAAGTTGAAAAATCGAAAAATTGAAAAAGTGAAACATCTAAACCCAGTCGAAAAATTCAAAAATCGAAGCATCAAAAAATTGAAAATCCAAAACTAAAAAATTCGAAAAATTGAAAAATACAAAACTGAAGAACTGGTAAATTGGTAAATCCAAAAATCTAAAAATTTAAATATAATCACATTTTTGGTAATTGAAAAATTAAAAGCCGAAAATTAAAAAAATTAAAATTAAAAACCCGAAAAATTATAAAATAGAACAAAAATAGAAAATCTAAAAAAAAATACTATTTCTAAAAATTGGAAAATTGTAAAATCGAAAAAACAGCTGAAAATTTAAAAGTCGAAAATGGATAAATTCAAATTTTTGAAATGAAAAGCCAAAAAATTGGACAAACGAAAAATTCAAAAGTCAAAAATTGAAAAAATTAAAATTAAAAACTGGAAAACCTAAAAAAATGAAAAATTGAAAACTAGCACAAAAATCGAAAATGTGAAAAGTTGAAAAAACAAAAAATTAAAATATCTAAAAATTGTGAAGTCGAAAAACGCAAAATTGAAAAATTCATAATGTGAAAAATTGAAAACTTCCGAGGTTAAAATTAATCAACGGAAGAAATTTAAATATCTAAAAATTGAATATCGAGAAACTAAAAAATCGAACCATTCAAAAGTTTAAACACTGAAAAGACGAAAAATAACACACTCAAAAAATTGCTAATCCAAAATTTGAAGAATGAAAAATTCCGAAGTCGAAAATTCAAAAATTTTAAAATGAGAACTCAAAAACAACAGCAAACGAAACATCAAAAACCAGAGTAAAAATCTAAAATCTGGAAACATAAAAAAACGAAAAATTGTGAAATCGCAAAAAATTGCTAATCTAAAAATTGAAGAAACAAAAAATCAAAAGTGGAAAATTAAACACTCGAAAAATTAAATTAGCGTTAAGTCGAAACTGAAGAAACGGAAAATTATAAAATTCAAATTAAAATCGGTAGACGAAAAATGATTTAAAATTGAGAGAGAAACTGAAAAATCGAAACAGTGAACAAAAATGAAAAATCAAAATGTCTAATGGAAAATTTATCTATAAATTCAAACGTTGGAAAATCGAATTGACTATTAGAAAAATTAAAAATCGGGAATTTGCAGAAAGATTTGAATTTTTTGAAACTCACAAATTGGAAAAATAAGGAGAACTGGAAAATCGAGGAAATCCAAATATCGAAAAAGTGAACAATCGAAAATGAAAATCGAAAAATTGAGACAAAAAATAAATCGAAAAATTTAAAGATTTTATTTACCAAAAGATCTAAAATTTAAAAAATCGAAAACTTGAAAAACCGGCAAATCGAAAATCAAAAAATCGTTAGCCTGAAAAATTGAGGAATTGAAAAACTGAAAAATTGAAAACTCGATTAATCGAGAAATCGAGAATTAAAAAAATCGACAAATCGCAAACTTAGAAAAGCCAAAAATTGAAAATTTGAACAATTGAAATTAAAAATATCGAAAGAATCAAAAAATTTAAAAAATATGAAACTGAAAAATCGGAAAATTGAGAAATCGAAAATTTTGAAAAACGAGATTGAAGTACTGAAAAATCCCTAAACTAAAATATCGAAAAATTAAAAAAGTAATCGATGAGTTGAAATCGCGGAATTGAAAAATCCTGTTAATGAAAAATTAAAACATCGGGAAATAGACACACGAAAAAATGGAGAAAGCGATAAACCAAAATAACCCAAACAAAAAATTGAAAAATCGAAAATTTTAAAACTCGAAAAATTGAAAAACTGAAAAAATCTAAAACAGGAAAGTCGCTAAATCGAAAGATCCATAAATCGAAATACCAAAATATTGAAAATCTAAAATTAAATAATTGAAGAACTGAAAAATAGAGAAATCCAAAAATCTAAAATTTTAAATACCGAAAAAGTGAAGATCGAAAAATTGAAAAATCGAGAAACTGAAACAAAAAGAAAAAACTTAGTAATCATTTAATCAAATAAGAAACAGTTAGTTCAACTATATTTTACACTCTTGTTTAGATTTAGGTAAATATTTTTTGTACAAGTTGGTAAAATCGTTGAAAGTGCAAGAAGTACCACAGTTTGGTAATTTTAGCTCTTTGGGGTTTTGGTCTGAGTAATCTTGGTAAAAAATCTGAAAATAAATTAGTCAAAATAAAAACAGTATTCAAAATTAATCTTGCTACACGCCTTCACTCTTCTGATTCCTCCAAAGTTATGAATTTCTATTAAAATATAAGCCGAATATGGTGGGACGTGGGGGTAATAAATTCCCAAAAGCTGCATCAAACACGTTAGGTGATGTTCGTGGGCAGAATATAAAAAGATCTTTCGATTCTGTGGCAAAATTCCCATCAGCTTGTTTCTAGTGTCTCTAATAATTTTTTTAAGCAAAAAACCTAAAAAATTCGTTTTAACATTGTCTTTCTTGATTGAAGTTCCTACCAGACGACAATTTTTTCAGTTCTTGGGTTGCCGATCTTGCAAAGTACTCCAGCTGCAGTAAATCGAAAAGAGCTTCTGGAAAAACCGACTGTGTCCATTTTGGAAGTTCGAGCCCCATTTCTCTCTACAATAATTGTTTACTTTTGAAATACACACACGTTACGAGTTAGAACCTCCACATCTAAAGTAAAATACACCTCGTAGATCCTTTTACTCGTAATAGAAAATCCAGTGTGTTTTGACAAGTACTCAAAAGTGTCACTGTAGTTCTCGAACATTTTTCGGCCTTGCGTCGAGTTTAGAAAGTCCAAGTACAATTTCTCGTACCGTGGACAGTTCTTGTACGGTTGTCCCAAAATCTAAACAGTGCAGACGTAATCTATGAAACAAATTGAACACTAGTGTTACGTGGTCCCTCCTCATTGGCCAGTACTCGGACGCTACAGGCTGCCACTTCAAATTTTTGTTCCAAACCAAGGCACCTTCTGGCGGAAACAAACCCGCTAGAACTAACTGTAAAGAAACTTTTGTTCTAGCGTAGTCCGAAGAACGCGCCTTTACAATTTCGTACGTGTAACTCCCTAAAAATTTCTTGTAACGTTTGCGTAAAGCTTGTCCCAAAAGGTACTGTTTCAGTTTCCCGGTCTAGAATGGGTTAGTTATGGTGGGTACCCAATTTGGGTACTTACGTTGGTGTGTTGGCCGAAATCTTCTGGGTAAAAGGAAGCGTTCACGTATGGGTCAGTAGGATAAAGCAGGTCTTTGTCGGGGGTTCGATCTCCGTGTCTAAATATCTGGAACACTTTTCCTAGAACTTTTTCTCAGAAAAGGGGTTATTACCACGTGAACCAGTTCCAAAGTGGTGTTTTCGGATAGGTTTAGTTTTGTGAATATAGTGAGAACAAAAAAAAGAATAAAAATTTTGCTCATTTTTGAATTGTTCTAGAACGTACTATTATGAATGTAACGAAATACTTTAGTGCAGGTTTTGCTTAATTATGGTTAAACTTGTCGGTGCGTATGTTGATAAGAAATTAATGAGTTGTTCTAGCACAAGTATATTTCTTAGAATGACAGCTTTAAATGAATTTATTGTCGAGTATTCGTCCATTTATTACAACTAGCTTTGTCGTGTTATACGATTTATACCCTAGTTCATTTTTACTTCCCGAGCGTAAGCAAAGGAAGTATTGTAATCGAGTCCGTCGGCCGACTCTCTACTTTTACGTTTTCTCGATCTTTCATGACCCCTAGAAGACGAAGAAATAGGTCTCCCATTTCCGTCTGTCTGTCCGTCCGTCTGTCCGTCTGTTGTCCCGGATTTTTATTAGACAGATAATCTCCGAAAGTACTCGACCGATTGTTGTGAAATTTTGTACTTATATTAAGAATATCATGTAGATGGTAAAACGCTAACCAAAATTTGTCTAATCATCCCCACCACTAATGCGATGACGTCACTTCAAAATTGTACATAGTAAATGGGTTTTCAATTGTATAAAATAACATGGTCCTACACATGTAGTTTACAACTCTGAATCGACTTTTCACCCGAAACGTCCAGATTTTTGGAAAAAAAATCAAAATTATAAAACAACATTTTGAAATTTAATTTTTAATCTGCTAACCAGAATGCTTTGAAATGTTGCAGATGTTTTAAGGCTATAAAGAGCATCATATTCATAAATCTGTAGTCAAAAAATATTTGCTTATCCCCTCCAAAAACTTGATGACGTCAGCTCAAAAGTTTGTGGAATAAATCATATCTAAAATGTACAAAATATGATGAGTCTGTACTTGTGATCTATCACTCCATTCATATTTTTTGGATTTGCATATACAGGGTGACTCAAAAAAATTAATGAATGCGTAAATATATTTTATTGATTTAATCAAGAACTACAAAACCGAATGCTCTGAAATCTTGCAGATGTTTTAAGGTCATAAAGAGCATAATAAATGTTTAGTCAAAATATATTTGCTTATCCCCTCCAAAAACTTGATGACGTCAGCTCGAAAGTTTGCCGAATAAATCATATCTAAAATGTACAAAATATGATGAGCCTGTACTTGTCATTTATCACTCCATTCATATTTTTTGGATTTGCATATACAGAGTGACTCAAAAAAATTAATGAATGCGTAAATATATTTTATTGATTTAATCAGGAACTACAAAACGGAATGCTCTGACATCTTGCAGATGTTTTAAGGCTATAAAGGGCATAATAAATGTTTAGTCAAAATATATTTGCTTATCCCCTCCAAAAACTTGATGACGTCAGCTCGAAAATTTGCCGAATAAATCATATCTAAAATGTACCAAATATGATCAGTCTGTACTTGTGATCTATCACTCCATTCATATTTTTTGGATTTGCATATACAGGGTGATTCAAGAAAATAAATGAAAGCGTAAATTTATTTTACTGATTTACTCAGGAACTACAAAACCGAATGCTTCGAAATCTTGAAGACATTTTAAAATTATCATAAGCATGGTAAATTTTTGATCAAAACGTATTTGGTCGTCCCCCCTAAAAAAGTTATGATGTCACCACAAAATTTAGCTGAAAAAATCCTATCTAAAATGTACAAAATATGGTGAGTCTCTTCTTGTGATTTATCATTCCATCCAAATTTTTTCGATTTGCATATACAGGGTGACTCAAAAAAATTAATGAATGCGTAAATTTATTTTATTGATTTAATCAGGAACTACAAAACCGAATGCTTTGAAATCTTGCAGATGTTTTAAGGTTATAAAGAGCATAATAAATTTTTAGTCAAAATATATTTGGTTATCTTCTACAAAAAACTGATGACGTCAGCTCAAAAGTTTGCCGAATAAATCGTATCTAAAATGTACAAAATATGATGAGTTTGTACTTGTGATTTATCATTCCATTCATATTTTTGGATTTGCATATGCAGGGTGACTCAAAAAAATTAATGAAGGCGTGAATTTATTTTATCGATTTAATCAGGAATTACAAAACCGAATGCTTTGAAATCTTGGGAATATTTTAAAGTTATTATAAGCATGGTAAACTTTTGTTCAAAATGTATTTGTTCATCCCTCCTAAAAAAATTGATGACGTCACCCTTAAATTTTGCTGAATAAATCCTATCTAAAATGCAAAAAATATGATGAGTTTGTACTTGTGATTTATCATTCCATTCATATTTTTTAGATTTTCTTAAGAAGTGGTTCAAAAAAATTAATGAAGTCAATTTATTTTATTGATTAAATTAAAGGCAACACTTATTATTAATATTACACCCCAACCAACCCAATTTGGTAGACACAAAATTTGTTAAAGGAAAAACTCGGTTGAAACATAAGGGTAGCACGCTTATTTACATCGACTTTAACATTACAGACCTGCATTTGTTTTGTGCGTTCACTTGATTCCGCGAATGTGAAATAGACATGTTTATAATCAACCAATTGTGAATTTCACCGTCAAGAATTAAAATAAAACCCAATGTTTTATATAATAAGCGGAAGTCGAAGCAATAAAACCGACGGTCGTTTTGTTTACAGTTTCTCTGTTTGGCTCTCACGTATGCTGTTACGCCTGTCATCTTAAATTAAGAATGTTTATACATACACGATTTTCAGTTGCCTCTGATACGTAGGTATACGTGAGTAAATTGTTTCGTTATTTTATTGATTATTACAAATCAATATTCAAACGACCCAATTCATTTTCCCGAAAATTTGAGAATATAATAATTTTATTCTTAGTATTACACTACATCTATCCCAACTGATATACGTGTCCTTGCAAAAATGTTGATGACGTCATCGCAATTTTTTTTTAAATTCCCACTACAAAAATGTAATGAGAAAAAAAACACAATAGGCATGCAGTCGTCAAGTTTCCGACAGCGAGGGAAGTACTGTCTAAACTCTTTAGACCAATTTTTGTTTTTATTTTTGCTTAAAATGGAACTATATATCACATTCTCGTTTGGATTTAGGCAAATATTTTTGGTACAATTCAGTAAAATCGTTAAAACTACAAAAATGGCCACAGTGCGGTAATTTTAATTGTTTGGGTTTTTCCTCTAGGTAATCTTGGTAAAAAATCTGAAACCAACAATACTAAAAAAAAAATTTGAAATCTTGCTACATGCCTTCATTCTCCGAATCCCTCCAACATTATGAATCTCGATTAAAATATAAGCGGAATAGGGTGGAAGGTGCGGGTAAAAAACTCCCCAAAGGTGCATCAAAAAAGTTATCGTAAATTCGTGCCCGGAGTATAGGAAGATCTTCCGGTTCTCTGGCAAAATGCCTCTGATCTTGTTTCTAGTATCTCTAATAATTTTTTTAAGTAAAAAGCCTGCGAAATTTCGTTGTACAATTTTTTTGTTTGTTTGAAGTTCATACCAGAGGACAGTCTTCTCAGTTCGTGGGTTGCCGACTTTGAAAAGTAGTCCAGCTGGAGCAAATCGTACAAAACATCTGGGAATACAGACTGTGTCCACTGTGGTAGTTCCAATCCATTTTCCTTCTACAAAAAAAAATGTCAATTTTTTAGTACACACGTTTTGGGTTAGAACCTCCAAATCTAGTGTGAAATAGAGCTCGTAGATTTGTCTACTGGTAATATTAAGCCCTGTATGTTCCGACAGGTAGTCAATAGTCTCACTGTAGTTCTCAAACAATTTCCGCCCTTGCGTCGAATTCAGAAATTCTAAGTACAATTTCTTGTACCGTGGACAGTTTTTGTACGGTTGTCCCAAAACCTAAACAATTCAGACGTAATCTCCTAAACCACAAAACACGAGTATTACGTGGTCGTTCCTCATTGGCCAGTAGTCGAACGCTATTGGCTGCCACTTCAAATTTTTGTTCCAAACTAGCGCACCCTCTGGAGGAAACAAAGCCGCTAGAACTAACTGTAAAGAAATTTTGGTTCTTGGGTACTGCGTAGAACGGGCATATGCGGTTTCGTATTTGTAAGGTCCTAAAAAATTTTTGTAGCGTTTACGCAAGGCTTGTCCCAGAAGGTACTGTTTCATTTTTCCGGTCTGGAAAGGGCTGATTATGATGGGCTAATAGTTCGGGTACTTACGTTGGTGTGTTGGCCGAAGTCTGCTGGGTAGTAGGAAACGTTGATGTGGGGGTCGTTCGGATAAATTAGTTCTTTGTCGGGGGTGCGGTCTCCGTGTCTGAATATCTGGAAATTTTGATCTAGAACTTTTTTACTTTTTTGACAGAAGGTGGTACCACGTGCACCAGTTCCAGGGTGTTTTTTTCGGTTAGGTTTAGTTTGGCGATCGTGTTGAGTAAAAGCAAGACAAAAATTAAAATTTTGCTCATTTTGAACAGTGTTCTAGTACGTCGAGGTACGAGATGGTTACTGTATTTGGCAGTTCTGGTTTTTTACTTGTAGGTGCGTAAAGAGATAAGAAATGAATTAGTTGTTCTATCAGAAATGTATTAGTTAGAAAGACAGTTTCAAGTTAATTTAGGTGTAAATGTTATGTGTTTATAAAAATTCAAGATAAGGGTAATTTATGGCGCAGAAAGTTTTATGTGTTTTTTAATAATAAATTAGCTTTATCGTATTAATTTACAAGAAAAGTTTGAATATTTTCCAAAAATGTGGACTAGAAAATGATGATTTTTATTTTCTGTGTGATTGACGGTGTACGTAAGAGCTCAAAATCGATGGAGATTTAATATGACGTAAGTATCATGGACAAGAAGTTTCAGCTTAAAAAATTGCTCGCAAAATTTTCCAGATTTAAAAGATTGCCAGGAGACATTCCTCCCACATTTGCATTTATCTTTAAATCATCGCAAAGTTATGGAAAAAATTTCAGAACACTCGCAATAAAATTTGCTCTCATTCTACAGAGAAGTGGCTTAAAGTTAAATATTTAAACAATTTTCTGACGTCAGTATCTGTTTAGTTGTTTCACTTTTTCCAGTTGTTTTTTTTAATCGGTTTAAATTTAATTTAGATGTGTGGATTGTATAGTTTTAATTTGTTATTCTAATTGACATGTGTACAAACAATAATGGTTGTAAATTTAGCACTAATAAAGGTTATCATTATCAGCGTATTTTTTTCGCTTATTCATTCGTCCCCTTTCTTAATCGCCTTTTTGCATTTTTTGCCGCTTTTTGTTTTTTTTTTGTTGCTTTTTCGTCATCCTTATTTTGCCATTTTTTGCTTTATCTTTTTGTTTTTTGTACCTGTTCTTATTGTTTTTTCTTTTTGTAATTAATTATCTTTTTCTAGTCGTGAATTTTGTCCCCTTTTTGCTTTTTTTTGTCGCCTCTCATTTCTGATTTTTTTGATACCTTCTTCGTGCCACTTTTATTGTCACCTTTCCCTTTTTGAAAATTCTTTTTAGCTTTTTGTAAGTTTTTTGGTCACGTTTTTTGTAGCGTTTTTTTTTTTTTTGTTATCCTTTGTCGTATTTTCGTTTTTATCGCCTTTTTTATCTTGTTCTTTTTTTTGTTGCGTTTTTCGGTTGCCTCTTTGTCGTATTTTTTAACGCTTTTAGATTTTTTGTTTTCTTTTGTTCTTCTTATCTCGCTTTTTTTGTTGCTGTCTATTGTGCTTTTTTTTCGTCTTTTTTTTAGCTTATTTTGTTGCTTTTTCCTCATTCTTTTTTGCTATTTTTCACTTTTCCTTGTTGTTTGTTGCTGTTTTTTGTTTTTTTGTAATTTATTATCTTTTTTCTAGTCGTGATTTTTGTTTTATTTTTTCCTTTTTTGTAAGCGAAGGAAGCATTGTAATCGGGTCCGTTGGACGACCCTTGTTCGAGCCACCTGCACGGCGGCTCTCTCACCCGACTGCAGCGAATTTCTTAATCACCCAATGTGAGGGTGCGGCACCCTTTTGTGGGGCCAAGTCTTTATAATTAGGTATAGTTTGTAAAAATAGGAGAGTAAGAATTTGGACTTGAGACTGTTAACATCGTACAAATATACATATTCAAGCGCCACCGTATTTTTATTGTATTTATTACAATTGGTCCTTCGAGTTATCGCAGCATATTTTTGGTCCGATCGAGTCGGATAGTGAATCAGCGATTGTGTTTTGGGTGAAACAATCCCGTACTTCAACAATTTTGTGTCTTGGGTGAAACAATCCCGTACTTCAACAATTTTGTGTTTTGGGTGAAACAATCCCGTATTTGCAATTGTGTTTTGGGGCGAAACAAACCCGCAGCAAGAATAACAGTGTTAGTGGCGAATTCAGAATCAACAGCAGGATTTCCACAACGAAACAGGTGGAAAAATCACGAGAAAAATCGTGGATAACAGCAGCACATCAGGTTAGTGGTCATTGCTTCCCTCAAGTCCTACTCCAATTTTTACCGTATACATTTCTTCGTGCGATACTTTAAACATCAATTTTCAAATTTTATACGTACTTAATTCGTTTTGTGGTGCTTAAACGATTTAGAAATCACACATTTCAGTTCAGCAGACTTGCAGTTTATTCCGTTGCTCAGATCGAATTTTTATATCAAAATGCCAACAGTAGAAGAATTAAAGGAAACTCGTAAACAAACGAAATCGGCAGTAACGCGTTTTGAATCATTTCTAGACAAATTTGAGGCAAATAACATCAATTATCTACTGTTGGAAGAACGATTAATAAATTATAAGCCATTATTAAAACAGTTTGAGGAAGTACAATCAAAAATTGAAATTTTACGTCAATCTGACGAAGAAGCAAATGTTCGTGAAGCATTTGAAGATAGGTATTATGAATTATTAGTTAGAGCACGAAAAATTATTGAACTAAAAACAAAACCCGGTGCACGAACTCCGGAGACCGAAGCTCCTAATCAAACGCAAAATTCTAGTAATATCGCCGTACAGTTACCGATAATTAATCTACCTAAATTCAGCGGCGAATATACAGAGTGGACGACATTTTACGACAGTTTCATTTCTCTTATTCACGAAAATAGTAGTCTTTCTAATATTCAAAAATTTCATTACCTAAAGGGTTGCCTGTTAGGAGATGCAAAACGTACCATAGATTTATTACCAATTTCGGCCGAAAGTTACCAATCCGCATGGAACCTTTTAACTGACCGTTACAAAAATAAAAGACTTATTGTACAAAACCATATTCACGCGATTTTTAATCTACAACCAATGAACAAGTCACCCAGTTCCTTAAGGGAATTATTAGACGGTATAAGTACGCACTTAGCGGCTTTAACAACACAAAATGTGGACGTAACGTCATGGGATGCCTTATTAATATATCTAACAACAACAAAATTTGATTTTTTAACTAAACGCGAATGGGAGTCACGTTTAAAGGCCAACGAATTACCCACGTGGAAACAAATGGTCGAATTTTTAAAACAACGATGTTTAACACTAGAATCAATGGAATTCAATTTAAGTAACCATAGCGTGAACTCTGCACCTTTAAAGAAAACACAGAATACAGAAGTTCCTGTAAGGAAAAACTATCAATTTGTTAATAATCAAAATACAATCGCGTGCGTTATGTGTAAAGGCCATCACAATTTATTTCACTGTCCCAAATTCCTCGAACTCAGCATAAACGAGCGCATTGAGCACGTTAAAAGATGGAAAATATGCTTCAATTGTTTAAAAGGTGGTCATGATTCAAGAACTTGCCGTTCTATGACGTGCAAGATATGTTCAAACCGACACAATTCGTTACTGCATCAATCAAGAGGTCCAAATTATAATAATCAGAGTCAGACTGCAAACCTTAGCATAAACAATTATCAATTAAATTCTAATGTTCAAGTAATTTTGTCAACAGCATTGGTTCAGTGTTCAGATTCAAATGGAAAGGTTTACACCTGTAGAGCTTTGCTTGATCAAGGATCGCAACAACATTTAATTACGGAAGAAATGTGTAAAAGATTAAACTTAACTACAAAATCTGTGCATGCAGGCATAAGTTCGGTCTGTGGTAGTTACAATGAAATTAAACATTCTACTACGCTTCACTTTAAATCATTGCACGATAATTATACCGAAAAAATTGCATGTTTGGTAGTCCCCAATATAAATCGAAATTATCCCATAGATACGTTCGACAAATCCGAGATTCCGGTTCCCCAAAATTTAAATTTAGCAGATCCTAATTACAACATTTCAAGTCCTATTGACATTTTAATTGGCGCGGCTTTGTTTTGGGAACTACTTCGAGACGGACGGATGAAATTGTCGAACGAACAGACTTTTCTTCATAACACATGTTTGGGGTGGATATTGGGTGGACCATTTACAGCGGCAGCAATCCAGATTAATAGTATATTTTGCGGTAATTTAAACACCTGTGCATTAGAACATTTAGACAAACAAGTAACAAAATTTTGGGAGGTCGAAAATTATGACAACCGTATCGAAAACTTAAGTTCTGAGGATCAGTTGTGCGAAAATTTATTCGTAAAACAACACAGCAGAGATCGCAATGGGAAATTTATTGTGCGCTTACCATTTAAGGCAAATCCTCCCAATTTAGGTTCTACAAAGGAAATAGCGTACAAGCGATTTAGGTCTCTCGAAAAGAAATTTGAAAACAATTATGAATTTAGGAATCAATATTGCACTTTCATGGCCGATTACATTGCACTTAATCATATGCAACTGGCAACAGATCAAAATATTCACGAAGGTTGTTTCCTGCCGCATCACGGTGTGATTAAGGATTCGAGCCTAACGACAAAAGTACGAGCCGTTTTTGATGCCAGCACAAAGTCGTCATCCGGATTTAGTCTCAATGATTATCTACTACCGGGACAAAATCTTCAAACCGATATATTTTCATTATTGGTGAGGTCCAGACAATACCATTTTGTGCTATCTGCTGATATTGTAAAAATGTTTCGGCAAATTTGGGTGGCACCAGACGACTGGAAATATCAAAAAGTTTTATGGCGTTCAAATCTAGACGAACCCATACGGATATATTGCTTGAAAACAGTGTCATATGGCATGGCTTGTGCGCCTTATTTAGCCATGCGATGTTTGCGACAATTAGCAGTAAAAACCGCGGACTCTTATCCACACGCTAGCAGGGTCATTTTGGAAGACTTTTACATGGATGATCTTCTAACGGGTACAAATGACGAAAGCGAAGCAATCACACTTCGCGATAATTTAATAAATATTTTAGGTAGTGGCGGTTTCGAAATCACAAAGTGGGCTTCTAATAATGACGCTGTTCTGCCACAGTGTCACAGTGACAACACTGCACTCGTGCGTTTAGATGAAAATATGCAAACAAAAACGTTAGGCCTAAGTTGGGATTGTGCGAATGATAATTTAAAATATGACTTCAAACTACAACATCCAAT